AAGCATCTCTCCACATTTGTTTAAAAAGTGCAAGTCCTGTACTCATTTTCTTTCTCTTTCTCCCTTTATGTAGTAGGTTAAGTTTTATACCAAGTGTTTTAATTAGGAAAGTAATAAAAAATAATGTTTGTTTGTTCAATTAGCGTTATAGGTTAGTTTTTGTTATGTTAATTAGCTATAGGTTAGTTTGTTAATATGTTTATTAACAAAAATGTATTTGTTAATTAGCTATAGGTTAGTTTGTTAATTAGTTAGGTTAGTTTGTTAATGTGTTTGTTAATTTCGGTTCATTACTATTCTACTTTGCTAAAAACATTCGTTCAAAATTTGTAGATTTAAGCATCTCTCCACATTTGTTTAAAAAGTGCAAGTCCTGTACTCATTTTCTTTCTCTTTCTCCCTTTATGTAGTAGGTTAAGTTTTATACCAAGTGTTTTAATTAGGAAAGTAATAAAAAATAAATTAGGAAAGCATAAAATTCATAACGCAAATCTAAAGAATAAAACTAAGCCATAAACTTAATAAGGAAAATTTAAAGTATAAAAACATAAAAAACTTTTATCATAAGATATATTTTTATTATAATGTAAGTAGTGTACTAATTGTAGCTTTTAAATAGGAAAGTTACAGAAAAAAAATTAGCATAATCATAAAAACCATAAAACTTAGCTTCTTAATTAAGAAAACATAAAACTTAAACATTGTTTAAAGGCATAAACTTAAATATCCATATGAATTAAAAGCATAAAACTTAATGGTTAATTGCGACTAATGATTGAAAGCCTAAGTTAGCAAATTTTTTTATTACACATTTGATTGCAATTTATTGGATTTTATGGATTTATCGATGACTTGTTGATTAGAGGCCTAGTAGTGGCCATTGATGTGGATGTTAATTTATAAAAGTATTTCATTTTATTTTTGTATATGTTAACAATTATGTGGATGGATTGAAATGTGATGATTCGAGGCTTAATAGTGGCCATTGATGTGGATATTGATTTATATAAGTGTTTTTTTGTCTTTGGAAATTTTGATTTATTAGTTTTTAAGGGGAAATGCTGCCGAATTTTTCCTTTGAAAAATATCATAATCAACCATAATCAACCTAATTGACATAAAAATAAGTACTTTAGTTGCACATTTGATGTCTTTCTCAATCCGGATGGAAGAGAAGACATTAAATTGTCCAAATTAGATAGTTTAGAAATGTCTTTTAAGTATACAATATACGAACACATATAATAGTTACTTAAACATATTTTGGTTGATTTCAGTAGTATCTCTCATTTTTATGTTCTCTGCGTACACAGTGAAATGGAGATGTTTCACTTTGTAGACCTAGAGAACTTGGGGGAGATGATGTCGAAATTTCATTAGATGCTTATCAAAACTATTATTTGTGCTCGTACTATATACTTATATTACATTTCAAATTGTGCTAGGTTCCCACCCAAATTTTATGGCTCATAATACACCTCTGTCATCATAATAAAATAACAAAGTAGCTTTTGATAACTAAACAGGACAAAATGGTTGCCGATCGAATGTGGATGTACCAAAGGTATGAGTTTAATACTTTATTAAGGAGAGATTTCGTAGAGGGTCTAAAATCATTTATTCAGTTTGCAATTAGTAATCCACAATGTATGGATAGAGGGAAAATAAGGTCCATGCAAACTTAAAAAGTGCAAGAATAGGGCTTTTTATGATGTTGAAACAGTGAAGCTCCATTTATATAAAAATGGGTTTATAGGAAACTATTATATGTGGGTATTTCATAGTTAAACTTGGATTGACAATAGTTTGGGTCGAAGTCCAGTGCATCACAGAGTCAGGGCATAGATTTGCATTCAGATCCAATATTGCGATCGCAAGTCAGAGATGTGACTGGTCCTGATTTCCATTGGGAGAATATGGAAGAGTCACCAAACACGATCATGTAAAAGTTGTATGATATGTTAAGTGCCGCCAATCATGAAGTTTGGCGAGGTTGTTAGCATCATTCTTTACACATATGAAGGATCGTGATGGGTTACATTCATTGATAGGCGTGCCTAGCTTGTTAGAGTAAGCATAATTGAGTACTTTTTTTATTTTCCATCCAAATTTGAATATTTTTGCATTATTCTTATGTTTTACACATATGAAGGATCGTGATGGGTTACATTCATTGATAGGCGTGCCTAGCTTGTTAGAGTAAGCATAATTGAGTACTTTTTTTATTTTCCATCCAAATTTGAATATTTTTGCATTATTCTTATGTTGTTGTATACTATATTTATAAGGATAATTATACTACTGGAATAGAGCGAGCTACTGTATCTAAGGCTCAGACTGGTGAGCAACCTACAATCGATAAGTTGCAACTTTATCTCAAGGCTGCAGGAGGTGAGAAGAAGAGAAAAGTGTACGGTATTGGTTCGCAGGCTAGTATTTTTTATAGTTTCACACGTGGGGCATTAGCGAGTAGAGCCACACTAGCTAAGCCTAAGGCACGTACCGAGGAGATCCAGGAATTACAGGCTCAGCTTCAAGCACAACAACAGCAGATATAACAGCAACAGCTCATGGATATGTATGCTCGAGACCAACCTAGTGCACCGCCAGCTTCCTCTGCGCTGACAGATCACTCTGATCCCCAGCTTCTTCCATTTTGCCTGCTTCTCAGAGTCCCATTACAGATCTTGCATATTAAACCCCCTTAGACTTCTTTTTATTGTATGTTTATTTTGTATAATATTATAGTATAATTTGTACAATTTTCTTCACACATTAATAATAATCTTATTTGATAATTTAGTATTTTTTTCATTGCAGCGATTGTTTGTGTGAATTACTTGAATCAGCATATATTGTAATTTTTTACAAGTGAAAAATCTAGGTTGTCAAAAACTTAAAATTTTTTTATTCAAAAAAATAAATAGCGACCGTTGAGTGACTGAATAATGATGGATAATAATACTTTGAAAAGTAATTAGAGACAAAAATAATGGCCAATTGACGACAACATTAGTGACAGATCGGCAACAGCTTAGCGACAGAACGTCAAACATTTAAAACAATATACAATGACAGATTAGCTACAAATTTAGCAACCGACGGTAGCGACAAAATAATGACCGCATCATTTACTAACTGAATAGCGACTGCTTTATCTTTAATGGAAGGAAGTGATTTAGCGACAGCATTGGCAAACTTAGCGACCACCGTAACGGTCACTAATTAGCGACAAATCTCAGATTCGGTCATTGTGAACTTAGCAACAAGAAATTATATGACCGATTACGGTGGTCGTCGTTCGGGTGCTATATCTGTTTTAGTGACCGATTCGTTGGCCGCTAAAGAGCATTTTTCTTTATAGTACCAATAACAATATTTTTTTAAAAAAATTATCACCTGCACCCGGTTGAAATTTTTTTAAAAAAAAATTTATGTCTCTAATGGATACTTAGTAATCTAAAACAAGTATTTCCAAAAGAATTGAATAAAAGAAAAATAAAAAAAATAAAAAACCTAAGCTGGAAACAGCTGCTATAGTTCCTGGTGTTATTATTCCACTACAAGCAAGCGGGACACTAGAAGCAACAATGTCCAACTTATTTGGCCAAGTAGAAAACACAAGGTAAGTCTTCTTTTCATTTACCGGAAGTTCAAACATGTTTGGTAGTGTTGTTTACATTTCAATGGTGTGTAGACTCAGGAACCACTAATTATATATGCAATTCTTTGTAGGGGTTTCAGGTAATGCGCCAGCTAAGTGAAGGAGAGGTTAGCATCTTCCTGGGAGATGGAGCTGAAGTTGCAGTTTTAGTTATAGGAAATATTTGTCTTAGTTTTGGGAATAATAAGACTTTAGTTTTAAAGGGTGTTCTTTATGTACCTTTAATTAGAATGAATTTAATTTCTATTTCTTGTTTGGAAAAGAATGGATATTCAGTTTGTTTTAATGAATTTTTTGATGATTCAATATCTTGTGATGAGACTGTTGTTATAAAATTTAGAAAACAAAATATCTATTCTGGAACATTTATATATGTCCTTTATATTCTAAGTGTTATTCCTGAACTGCAATTGAATCGTGAATTACATAACATAGATAATTTGCCACGTAAGAGCAAACGTCTTACTAAAATAAATAAAACATATCTTTGGCACTTAAGGCTTGGTCATATTAATCTGGATAGAATTTCTAAGTTGGTCAATGATGGACCCCTGAGTTCATTAAAAGTGAAGGCACTACCAACTTGTGAATCCTGTTTAGAAGGTAAAACGACTAAGATGCCTTTCCTTTTAAAAGATAATAGAGCCAGTGAAGTATTAGCATTAATTCATTCTTATTTGTGTGGTCCTATGAATGTCTAGGCTAGAAGTGGTTTTGAGTATTTTGTGACTTTTATGGATGATTACTTAATGTATGGTTATATTTACTTGTTGCCCCATAAGTTTGAATGCTTTGAGAAATTCAAATAATTCAAGGAAGAAACGAAGAAACAACATGGTAAATATATCAAATTATTACAATTTGATCGTGGTGGTGATTACCTCTCTAAGAAATTTATTAATTTTTTTATCAGAACAATGAATTATCTTAATTGTCTCAGCTGGTATACCATAACAGAATGGTGTAGTAGAAATGAGAAATAGAACGCTTATGAAGATGGTAGATCTATGTTGAGTTATTCAACGACTAGTTTAACAATAAATTAATTCGCTAGAAAATAAATTTTTAATGTATATTCATGAATTATAAACTATCAAAACAACTCGCATAAAAGCATGAGCCTTCACCTAGTTTCTTTTATCCATTTACTTAATCTAATGGAAAAATTTATAAAAAATGACAAAAGTTTCAAATAGTTAAACAGCGGTAAACTTTGAGGACATTAAAACAAATTTTCAAAATAGCAGGGGAAAAATAACTAATTTAGTCAAATATCAGGGACAAAAAACTAAATTTCTTTTCTAAAATATAAAGTAATCATTAAAAAAGAAAAATCAGCAGAGAAACATACAGTGGCGTTGAAGAGGAATGGCAGGTGGGAAATAATAACGACCATCTTTCTCCTACACAGTTGTTGTTGTATTCGTCATACATCAAAACGCAAGAAGTAGAGAGAGAAAAAGGAAATTAAATAAACAAAGAAAGAGATACACACTTGTACACTAGTCTTCGTTGTCTAGGGTTCTTCTTCAGATCAAAATCCCAAAAATCCCTAATCCAAATTTTCTATAATAATAATAATAATTTGCGACATTGTTAGTATTGCCATCATCGATTCATATCTAAAAATAAATCTAATGTGTAGATGTACTCGAGCAATTTGAAAGGGTTTATACTGGCAGTTGTCTCCAGTGCTTTTATAGGCTCAAGCTTCATCATCAAGAAGAAGGGTCTCAGGAAGGCCAGCGTCAACGGCCCTCGTGCCAGTAATCTTTCTCTCTTTTTTCCTTTTTTCTTTTTTTCTTTTTTTTTTTTTTTATGTCCTTTTTCCCCTTTGAATAAATTAATTGAATTTTGTTTTCTGCAACTTGAAAGGTGTTGGAGGATATGGTTATCTGTTGGAGCCACTCTGGTGGATAGGCATGGTTACCAGTAAGTTAAGCTAGACAAAACTTTCATCATCTGTTTGTTTTTTCTTCAAGTTACATTCACATTATGTTTATTTTCTTATTTGCTAAGGAGTTTTTTACTGATTTTAGACAGAACTGAGTTTAACTATATCCCCGGCATTCCATTTAGTGGTAACTGTATCTGCTAGATTTGACCTCTAAACGTCTCCTTGTCTCCTTTGCACGGCCAAACTTGCAGTGATCGTTGGAGAGATTGCAAATTTTGTAGCTTACATTTATGCTCCTGCTGTCCTTGTTACGCCACTTGGTGCTTTGAGTATCATTGTTAGGTAATATTTATCTATACTCATCTGTTTGTTAAGAAGTCCCACTGTGGTATTTTGCTACACTCTGAACATTTGAGAACCATTTTGCCTGATTTGCTGTCCTTACTGCTTACATGGGATGATATGGAACTGATATAGATTAAAATACTTATCCTGCTGCTAATTAAGACAACAAGGATCTATATGAATATACGGTTGTGAAGTGTGCAAACCCACCTTTCCATGTCGCGGACAGGTTTAGTTAACCCACTTTTCCCCATCCTTACTGGTAGACAGCCAATTATCCTCATGATGTGAAGTGGCAAACCATTCATGGGGTTGGGTAGCCACCTAGTGCTAACCTCAAGCCTGAATCACCATGATCATTAATGCCCTTAAATGGTGGTGATTAAATCATTGCCATTATCACTCTTGTTTTAGAAAATCCCACCATTAACACAAACTGGGAAGATCCTAGATGGCTGCTCAAGTGTCTTGTCTAGGTCTAGCATTTAGAGGACTCCATATAGGCTAGGACTCCAATGGACCCGACCATTAACACTAACTCTAGGAAGAAAAAAGGGAGGCCAAAACTGTAGTCATTTTTAATTGAGATTTGAAAGAAAATCTGAATGTGGACTTGTAAGCTAGGTTTAGCTTCAAAAGCACAATCAAGCTGTTTTTTTTTTTTTTCCCTTTTTTTTTTGGATAAAATAAATGAGAGATGCACAAGGGTCATTTGATTTTATGACACCTGCCAATAAAAGTGTACACCTGCACAAGAACATTGATGCAGTCATGGAAAACTAGATTTGGACAGTGTCAGCAGCTGTGCTGGATCACTGTCGCCTTACCTTTTACCTGTATCTCTCTTATCTTCTTTCTAAGAACCTTCAGCGTTGCAGTTTTGAGATCTGACTTATTTGTCATATCCAAAAACTAGTGGATTCCAGAATCAGAGACTATTTCAAACTGTTATGGCACCAAAATTATTGCTCTAGCAGACCCCAATTATACTAACAATATCTCTCTATATAGGATTCATGTTGAAGTATTTAAGCACAGAATAAATGTTTTACTTCAAATTAGCTCCATCTACGTAGCACATCAGTAGAAATTAGCAGTGTTATGTGAATCGGTTCTCAAGTGCTAATGAAGGCATTTAGTTGGAGCTTCTGAGTGAAGTACCATCTTTTAATTGCTCATGTGCTAGTCATACCATCTGTTTAATGGACTTCTCCTTATTTTTCTCTAAGTTTTTATTCTGGTACTTTTTTTTTTAATTAATCAGTGACAATTAATTAGTAGTGTTTCTTATGAATTATGCATAAAAAATGGGTAGTGCTGTGTTAGCCCATTTCTTGTTGAAGGAGAAACTACAGAAAATGGGAATGTTGGGTTGTCTTCTATGCATAGTGGGTTCCACAATGATTGTTCTACATGCACCTGAAGAACAGTCCATTACGTCTGTTGAAGAAATATGGGAATTGGCTATCCAGCCAGGTATCCTACTTATACTTAATAAAAAGAAGATAAAAGAAGAAGACTTGTTGAACTGTATCTTCTCTTGTTTTTCACTTCCTCCTAATCAATTTGTGCTGTTTCTTGTCCAGCATTTCTTTTGTATACAGCCTCTGTTGTAGCGGTTGCATTGGTACTGATATTATATTGTGCCCCCCGCTATGGCCAGACCAACATCATTATCTATATAGGAATATGCTCTATAATTGGATCATTGACGGTTAGTTATTTAACTCCATAGCAATGTGCATGGCAAGCTACAGAATAAAATATGTTGTTTTTGGTGTTTGCCAATGTGCTTTAACTGATTAATTCTGTTGAGAAATTTGCATTTTAATTTTAGTAAGAAAGAATGAATCTTCTGTTTTGAAGGTTATGAGCATAAAAGCTATTGGCATTGCAATAGAACTAACACTGGAGGGCATAAACCAGGCCAAATATTTCCAGACATGGATTTTTGCAATGGTTGCAATTACCTGTATCATCACTCAGTTAAATTATCTAAACATGGTCAGTATTGTAATAAGCTTTACTCTCCCATAGTATAATTTTTTGATAATTATAATTCAAACTGAACCATTTTGATGTTACCGTTAGTCCTTGAGCTGCATTTTCCTTTCCTTTTATTAAATTTTTAATGCAATGAACTTTTATTATGTATCAACAATTTATTACTTTTGTTTTTAGTATCTCAACCATGTTAGTAGTACTTCAGATTTTTTGAGTGAATTGCTGGGAAATGAATCCCACATTGAATGATAATAAAATAACTCAAGGACTCTTAATGGAATGGGTGGTGGACCTAGCACAAACCAATTGGTTTTGTGCAAAATTGGTTCCAATGCTTGTTTACTTATAAATCAATGTTGTTTGAACATGGTATCAGAGCCTCATACCTAAATGGGCTTACCTTTAGGACTCATGTTCAAGCCCCCGCAAGACCGAAGTTGATGGAGATATGCCAGTCAGTCTATGTAATTACAAGTGTCAACCGGCCTGTTGATGTTTGGCCTAGTTAAGGCCAGCCAGGTTGCACTTGAGAAGTGCGTTGGGAAATGAATCCCACATTGAATGATAATGAAATAAATCAAGGACTTATAATGAAATGGATGGTGGACCTAGCACAAACTAATTGGTCTTGTGCAAAATGGGTTCCAATACTCATTACTCATAAGCCTATGTTGTCCGGTCACATGGACTTTAGCATAAATCTTAATTTCTTAAATATCTGGAATTCTGTTCTTTTTTTTTTAATTATTTTTAATATTTAGTCAATTATATTAATGAGAATGAGGTTGCTCTTCTCAATTGCAAAATATTACAATGTAGCTGTGTATAACATACTATTCCCTCTCCCTATTCACAAAAAGCAACAAATCTATTTGGCTTCTTACTAGAGGGTTTTTTAAATATTACCCGATTTGTAGCTTATCAATCATTTCTCATCGGAATTTTGGGCATCCAATGTGATATTCTCCATTATAATACTAGGAATTTGAAATCACATTGAAATGAGATGTATCTACTGAATTGGCTGTTTCTATTGTGAGACAACAACTGTAATAGGCATAATGCTAGGCAAGGAGTCTAAGAAAAACACGAGGAGAAGGGAGAGTGAGATAGTGTTTTCTCCTTTTTAGATGAAAGCGTAACAACAGGGTTTTAGTCTTTTCGAAGTCCTGAAGTGTAATGAGCTAAATGTTATTTAATTTTTATTTTTTTTTCTTATATACAATAACTAAGCCTTAGTCCCAAACTAGTTGGGTCAGCTACATGAATCCATGCAAAGCAAAGTATAGGTCGAAAATAATTTGAAATTTTTTTTCAAAGAAAAATTTTTGAAGGGGGAGTTTTAAAATCATTTGATATATTAATAAATAGGACAAAGTATAAAATAGGGAACAACAACTAACTAGGGTCTGCTACATGAATCTTTTGCCTCCATTTTTATTATGTTCATAGCTATATTCTCACTAATATTCAAAGACCGTAGATCCTTTTAGGTCGACCTTTTCCCTTTTTAGCACCCTTACTACTAAAGTATTACATTTGCGAACCGGGACATGTAGGGGGTCTACATAATACATGACTATACCATCTCAGATGTCCTTCTCTCATTTTATCTCCAACTCTGCTACTTGTAGCTTTTTGTCTAATGTGATCATTGTAATCTTGTCCAATTTTGTGTGACCATAAATCCATCTCAGTATTCACATCTCCGCAACATTTGTCTTATGAACATATTGAGCATTAGGTGCCCGACATTCACTCCCATACAGCATTGTTGGTCTCACCACTGTCCAATAGAACTTACCTTTTACCTTTTTAGATATCTTCATATCACATAGCGAACCTGTAGTCCTCCATTTCATACATCCTACTTGAATTCTATGAGAAACATCTTTATCTATGAGATCCTTCTTCAAGAACACAGAGCCTAGATATTTGAGTTAATTTTTTTTTGAGCACCATTGTACCATTTGATCTGACCTCACTTTCCTGCTTTTTTCTTAAATCAAACTCGCAGTGCATGTGTTCCATCTTACTTCTTCTTAGCCTAAAACCTTTATCCTCGAGAGTTCTCCTCCGTAGTTCGAACTTTTGATTTACTTCCTCACTAGTTTCACTGATTAGGACAGTATCATTTGCAAATAGCATACACCAAGGAATATTTTCTTGTATATTACTGGTTAGCTCATCCATTAATAGGGTAAATAAGTACGAGCTCAGAGCAGATCCTTGATATAGCCCAATTATTATGGGGAACTTTTGTGTATCCCTTCCAGTTGATCTCTCACTGTTGACTGCATTTTCATATATATCTCTAATGGTGTTTATATACTTGGTATGAACTCCTTGTTTATTTAATACCCACCAAAGTACTTCTCTTGACATTCATCATAAGCTTTCTCTAAGTCAATGAATACCTAGATCCTTCTTCTTTTCCCGATATTCCGTCACTCTTCTTAGAAGGTAAATAGCCTCCGTTGTAGACCTACCAGACATAATCCAAATCGTTTCTCTGGCACTTTTTTTTTATCTTATATATATAAATAAAATTTAACATAAAAATTCTTTTTAATTAGCAAATCAAATTTCTTTTAGTTTTTATTTAGATTATCAGCCCTTACATGTTTAAAATTTTAGTAAATTAGTATCATAACCTATATATTTTGAAAGTCAGAATAAGAAGAAGACAACATATATATTTTGAAAGTCAGAATAAGAAGACAACCTATATATTTTGAAAGTTAGAATAAGAAGTTAGAAAGTTAGAAAGACAAGTAATCAAATATTGGTATCCCACATGTGGTTGCTAGTATCAGTCACTAGGCAAGGTTTATGGTAAACCTCGAAGGCATATAGGGTGTGGGGGGACTGTGATTTCATGCTAAATATGTATGTACTTATCTTGAAATTCATATGTATGTATATAAATATTTATTGGCATCCCGCATGTGGCTGCTAGTATCAGTCGCTAGGCAAGGTTATGACAAACCTCGAAGGCTTATAGAGTGTGGGGGAAAGTGATCTCATGCTAAATATAAATATGTGTTTAGGTATCTTGAAATGCATATATATGTATGTATGTGTTGGAGTATATGAGTAATCCCACATCGAATAAATACAACTAACTAAAAGGGCATATAATGTGAAGGGTGAACCAATCAAAATGGCTTATGTGTTGGAGTGTTTAGGCCATTTTGTGTTAAAGGTAAACCCAACTCATTATAAGCCCAATATTACATATATAATTGAATTTGATTTGATTAATTGCTCCTAGGGCCAGATTCTCAACATGTTATCAGATTCTGGGACCCAAACCTGCATGAGGGAAGTTTCCGTGTTGGGTCGTACCCTGATGGACCCATGTGTTGGGCCATCGTATGCTTGTCAAGTGGGTAGTCCCACTTGAGGGGGGAGTGTTGGAGTATAGGAAGATTTTCCGTGTTGGGTCGTACCCTTGATGGGACCCATGTGTTGAGGGCCATCGTAGTGCTTGTCAAGTAGGGTATCCACGTGAGGGGAGTGTATGGAGGTATGTGGGTAATCCCACATCGGATTAATACAACTAACTAAAAAGGGCATATAATGTGAAGGGTGAACCAACCAATATGGCTTAGGTCATTTTGTTTGTTAAAGGTAAACCCAAACTCAGTTATAAGCCCAATTATTAAATACTATAATTGAATTTGATTTGATAATTGCTCTAGGGCCAGATTCTCAACAGTATGCAATTATTTATTTATTAAACTAACTATTTTCTAAAATGGCTTAGGTCATTTTGTGTTAAAGGTAAACCCAACTCATTATAAGCCCAATATTAAATATATAATTGAATTTGATTTGATTAATTGCTTCTAGGGCCAGATTCTCAACAGTATGCAATTATTTATTTATTAAACTAACTATTTCTTTGACTATTTTTGTTTCACTAGATACACAAGATTATAATAGTATTTAGTTAAGTCCTTCATTTAATGTTTATTTTAATCATTTTGCTGAAGTGGTGTTTGATAACAAACTGCAACATATAGAATTAAAATTTTTAGTACTTATTAGTTTTTTGTTTTTGGTAACATCCATACAAATATATATTGTAAGAATCTTGTTTAACTTAAAGTTTACCTAAAAGCATAAGTCAAAATTAGGTTAAAATTTTGCATTGAATGTAAAAGTCATTGGGTTTTAAAACAACTTTCAAAATTTTTTAGCCTTTATATTATTTTAATACTTAAAATTCTGCTCTTCGATTTTAGTTTTACCAAAGACCACTTTACTTTTGCGAAAGTTGCAATAGCCAGTAGTTGATTCAGTTGAATTCAGTCTGACTTAATCCAATTCTGTGGCACTGGTTCCAATTAAAATACCATTTCCAATTCCATTATTGAATACTTCAGCACCTCTAGAGAGAAATGGCAAAAACCAAGAATACTTGACTTGCAGTAGGGAAATAATGTATCTTCAAATTAGCTTAGAGCTTCTTTTGGGAGAGAACTCTCATGACTTGTTGCAAATGAGAGATGTGTGCCTCCTTGGTTTTACTATATATGGGGATACAATCAATTGAGGACAAAGAAAATGACCAGCAAGGCTAATATATTTGGTGGTTCATAAATTGCGTAAATGTTCTAGGAGCATTAGAAAGAACAAATGTCATAACTAGCAATTTATAAAGCATCCTTGGTCATGATGGCAGTCTTCCATTTCATCATTTGCTCTAACATTAGTGTTTTATGATGAATCTATCTTTGAAAAGATACTATGAACAGCCATTATATCTAGCATATCATCAAGATGAGAAATAGGATATCTATAGATGACGATAATCTGGTTGATGGCTTGACTATCAGCACCACATATGCCAGGTACCACAAAAAATGTCAAACAACAATTCAGTGACTTCAGGAGGCATTTTGGAGACAGATACAACGGCTGGTTCCCTTATCTTGCAACAGTACCAATGGTAACTTTTGATTTGCAACTTTTTGACAAGAGAGAGAAAGGGAGAGAAGGAGGAATGCTAATGTCAAAAAGAAGTTTGCCTTGACATACTTCCCACATGGCAATGCAAGTTATCCGGCCATGAAATCTTGTATAAGGCCCAGGAGTTTTATCTGAACATCAATATGGAAGGCTCCACTGGCCCTTAACTATAATCTAGTTTATCTATTTCCCTGAATTAACACTACATTTTATTTAAGAAATTTGAATAGCTTAATTTATTTTAAGTAATTTTTCAAGCCATAATTTAAGGGGGAGGTTTCGGATGTATAGATAACTGAAAAGAATTATGTCGTAACAGGTTGTGGCTGTTTCATGTGTCTGGAACTGCTCTGCTTCCATTTCGTTAACCATTAGCGCATTCATTACCATGACTGATTTAAATCTATGATTCAACCAAATTAATGGTGCACCCTGTTAACACACTTTCAAGAAGATACTTCCATTGTACTAGGCTGTAAGATCCATGGTGAAAATTCATACTGGATCCTAAAACCTGTGGCTGCAAAAGTTCAGCCCAGATCAAGTAGTTATCATCTTAACCATACATGTATGCTATTGTTGAAAAGACTGGCTGCATAAATAGTTTCCTGAATAGAATTTCATGTGCTTTTGCATTGCGTCCGAATCTTCCTTGCTTCATTTTCTCTTTTTCAATTCTTTTCTGTGCGCATGTTATCTCCTCTTTTTTCTTCTTTTAATGAACAAGATAATGTTATAAAAAATTTATGTTGTTTTGAAACAAGTGATTCTATCGTTGCTTTATTGGTGTAATTGATTGTGAGGATGCATGTATGATTATTGTGTCTCTCCTGCAGTTTTTAATGCTCCCTAATTTAATATGTAGATTCATGATGTTGAACTGAATGTGCCAGAATTATGGCTAGTCCAAGTTCAGCTGTTATCTAATGATATTGACATGGTTGCAGGCATTAGATACTTTCAACACAGCAGTTGTTTCTCCGATCTATTATGCCATGTTCACATCTTTTACAATATTTGCCAGTGCTATAATGTTTAAGGTACAGCAAAGTGCTCAATTTGGGGTTTTTGGGGGTGGGGGGAGAGAGAGACTGTATTCAAGGCATAAAATTTTCTGCGTGTTTTTTGTAGGATTATTCTGGTCAAAGTGCAAGCAGTATAGCATCTGAGCTTTGTGGATTTATTACTGTGTTATCTGGGACTGCTGTATTACACAGTACAAGGGAGCCTGATCCACCTTTTATAACAGGTATGCTCATGCAAATAGTTTGGACTTCTCCATTAGCACTTGAAAGCATGTCTGTTAGAATGCTAACCATAAAGTCCGAGTGCACTATGTTAATGTGTGGACTGTGATACATGAGTGATTTCTTTGTACTTCTAATAGTAATACGTTTGTTATCATATAAATACCAAAAGAAAATCTTGATATTCTTAGAGAAATATACAAGGTGATTTATAAGTATAACTTTTTATCTACCCTAAATAGAATGAAATTTTTAAGCGCTGTCTTATTAAATTTGAATCATTTGAATAATTCAAGCTCAAATCTCTTTTCAATTTGCTTTTGTCACTACATGTTAAAATTGAGTCTTAATTTCTCATATCACTAGCTTTAGCATGATGTACATTTTGCATGTTTTTGTTTTAGACTGGTTGGGTATTTATTATGGGTGTAAGTAAATGTTAACATGAATTTGTAACATGCAGTTTTTGCTACATATTAAAATGTGGTTCCTGTCATAAGCTTAAATATGATATACATGTTTCATGTTCTGTTTTGGATTGGATGGGCAGAGTGGGTGTAAATAAGTGTTTTTTTACATTAGATTTATCAAAATCAAACTTAAGCCTATCCTTTGAACTGCTTTTGATATTCGTGATGAGAACTTTGAAATCACGTAAGAGTTGCAAATTTTAGATGCAAGGAAATAACGGTTTTGTTAAATGGAAACTTAATTTATTGTTCTCTGAGTTTTTTGGCCAATATGATCCATAGGGTTTAATTCAGGGACTAATAAATCCTAATCAATAATTAGGAAAAAGCGTAATTACACAATCAATGTTTGAACTTTTTCAATTTTATTTTTTCAGTGTTTGAACTTCATTTTTATGATCAAGCGTGTCTGAATAGGTTGGAAAAATTTTAAGTAACTGTACTAATTAAGCAAAAGCCAAAGCCTGAATTTCTTGCCAGAATAATAATCTGTACTATTTTACATTATCTCCACCATATCCACTTCTCAGTTTTCCTCCGTTCTTTCTCATATTCTCTTACATTTCCATTGTAATTTTCTTGGACAATGGAAGAAATTTTTTTTTTTTTTTCTTTTTAAGGAAAAATGAGAGAGAGAGGGTAATAAAGACAGAAAAAGAAGGAAGTTTTAAAGCGAGAGAGAACAAAGTGGAGGTTGAGGTATGGCACAACTATTGGGTAAATGGTCCACTTGAGTGTCTTGACAAGAAATTTAGGCCAAATTCACCTAATTAAGAAAAAAAATTTCATCCATTCAGACACTCGATTGTTTAAGTATAAATGTAAACGTTAAAATAGAAAAATTGACAAAATTCAAACACAAGTGATATAATTATCCATTAGACAAATGAAGTAAATGCATATTTGAGGCCCAAATGGGCCAATGCTTTGAGCATTTATTCTTCTAAAGGAATGTTTATGATATTGTTTATGATAAAAAGGAACCTTGCTGTTATAACCCGTACTGAATTCTTTACCTTATCATACCCCTGATCATTTTCAATTTCCATTTAAGCTTAGCATGAATATTTTTGGCAATACAACAAAAGGTGATCATCATTAACAATCTAAAAGAAATTTTCTCCAGTTGGAAAATATATATATATATATGATTGTTTTGGTGTGAGCACGGAGAACAGAAAAATATTTCAAACCTGGACTGATGAAAATTCAAGTTTAAATTTGCATCACCTTTTCATTTGAGGACATAGATTAAGCTAATCTATATATTTATTTATGGGCTAAAATTTTCATTGTCTTTCAGGTTGAATCATTATTAGAATTGAGTTTGATATGTGTTGAGAAGTACGTTGTTTACAGTTATGATTCTTATTAGGGCTTTAAGACTAAATTGATTTATGATTTTATATCTTTAATGGTAAATGGATCTGCAAGAAGACTACCAGCCTTCAACATTTGTTGGAAGGCCTTGAATAATTTCTTTACTTTGTTTTTCTTCTATACTCTTATCTGTCTACTCTTTGTACCTATACTGCACAACAAATTCTTATGATCTCAGTTTCTATTCTTAACACTCCGTTGGTATAAATAAATTCAAAATATGGAATTCATTTGTAAATGAATTTTTCATGTTTGGAATAAATTTAAAAATTGAAAATTCATTTGCTTTTATTTCGTAAAATACCCTAGCATAATAATTTTTTAAAATGTTAGAAGGATGAATAGTTTTGTCATAAAGTTTTGAGTCGTTTAAGTTTGTGAAATTCATTTAGAAACATTTTTTGGTAGAATTTTGTTTAGTTATATTCAGATTTATAGCATTGAATTTGTAGAATTTTAAATTTTCCTTTTTTTTTTTTAATTTTCATACTAAACACAAAAGTTTGAACTTATAAATGAATTTGACAATTTTTTAGAATTCATTTATTCCAAACAAGAGGTAAATGTCTGTTATCTTTCCCCACTTTATGTACCTCCACTTTATATGAGCATGTGGTACTCCATCCCTTGCTTTTAGAATTAAGGTTATGTTCGGAAAAAATAGCTGTTTTGGTAGTTGATAGTTATTTTAATAATGTTTGAGTAGTTTTTTATAAAACCTTAAAGCTAAACTTTATATGAGTTAACTTTTTGTAAACCTTTTAGTATTGATGTATGGGGAAGCCCTGTGGAGTTTTTGTTTGTCTGATAATTTCATAACATGCAGATCTTTACACACCATTATCTCCAAAAGTATCATGGTACATCCAAGGAAATGGTGAACTGTGGAAGCAGAAAGACGAGGATGGCCAAACTTCGAATTTTTTCACATTTCTCCGGCAAGACTATTTCAAGTAAATAAAATATGCTGGGGGCATTGAAGATTTGAATCTTCTGAATCCTATAGGGTTGTGCAGGTGAAAAGTCTGGTAATTCTTTTTATTAGGGAAATTCTTTTTGTTTCTTTTGCCTATCAAACAAAATTATTTATCCATTTCATGCTGCAGTCTCAGTGACCATTTAACTTATTTTGATTTTTTTTTTTTTTTTTTTTTTTTTTCGCAAGACTATTTCAAGTAAATAAAATATGCTTGTTGGGCATTGAAGATTGAATCTTCGAATCCATTAGGGTGTGTGCAGGTGAAAAGTCTGGTAATTCTTTTATTAGGGAAATTCTTGTTTGTTTTCTTTTTGCCTTATCAACAGAAATTATTTATCCATTCATGGCTTGCAGTCTCAGTGACCATTTAACTTATTTTTGATTTTTTTTTTTTTTTTTTTGTTTTTTTGTCACATTTTTGTTTCCTGGTCAAACTTGTAGCTAGGTATATCATCATCATTGTAAAAAAGGAACTCCGGTCTTGGACTTGGAGTGTAGGGCTTCAAAGTGAGCTTAACCCCTAAGTTTGGTCCCCTGTACTTGTAATCTAATTATTTGACTTCTTTCGGAAAATTATTGTTACGTAGTCCCTCAAAACGCTTTTTTTTTTTTTTTTTTTTTTTTTTTTTTTTTGTTCCTTGCGATCAAAATTGTCAAAATTATAATTAAATAGCACGTTGGTATTACTAATTAAATAGCATGTGGAAAGTTGGTTTGAAAACACTATCCACAAATTTAATTTCAAATGAAAACTATTTATCAATTTAGTGTTTATTTCAGCTATTGAGAATGTTGCATTAAAATCACCAACTCAATTAGCTGTTTGAGTGTAATAGAAAAAAGTAATTCATATTTACAAATAGTCAACAAAAAGCAATTAGAGAAATAAATAATAATTTTTATTTTTTGTTGAAACCATCAATTATTAAATTATAATTGGTGGTTTCAATATAAAATATAAAAATTTAAATAGTTAAATAGTCTTTTCATTAAGACACCAATCATTTGGTGCTTTTAGTACAAATATGCGATTAAGACACAATTCATTTGGTGCTTTTACTACAAACTAGTTTTATTTTATGATGTGCGTTGCACGTTGACTATGTTCGTTATATGATCATTCTTTATTATTGTTTAATTTTTTATTTATATAATATTAAAATATAAATTTTTATTTAGATTAATTATTAGATTGATGTGGTTAAATATAAATTAATATATACAGTAAATTTTTTTATTCTATATTAACATATTGATTTTTACGGTTTTTATGTATATGTTAGTGCCCTCATTATTTTTTAAGGGAAAAAAAACAAATCAATTTATAAAATCATCATATAGCTTCTATTTATACATTATAATTAATTACATGTTTTGTTAATAACTTTCATTTTAATCTCTTATAGTAAATAAAATATACTATTAACAATAGAATAAGAAAGCAATATAAAAATCAAAATTAAATATTTATAAATAAATAATAAATTTTAATTTTATTTTTAGCCAATCAAAATTCATTGAAAGCATTTTAAAAATTAATATTAATAAAATTATATTCAATTATATTCTTTAATAGAAATAGGATTTGGATTATATAATATACCAATATAACTAATTAAATTCTAAATTCGACATGTTTAAAAATAACAACTTTTTATCTTATTTTTTAGTTAATCAAATTAGAGTGCAATTTGTAGTTAAAGAAATTTAATTATACCCTTTTAAAATCAAATCTGAATCATCTACATATATTTATTTAAAATAAATTTTAAAAAATATAAATTTTTTAAATGCCTCGTTATTTAAAATAATAATATTGAAGCTAAATTATAAATTATAATAATAATAAATTATTAAATTATTATTAATAATTAACATAATCATATAATAAAAATAAAATATAATTAGACAGAATAAGATAATAATTGTGAAAATTTAAAATTTTGAAATGATTAATTATAAGTTATCTTAAAATTTTGAAATGATTAATTATCTATATTTATTTATCTACTAAAAAAGTTTTAAAAAATCCAATCAAATTATAAAAATATTATATATATTTTTATTACAATTTTTGAATTGGTTAAAACTAAGGTTATTTTAGGATATCTTAAATTTCATAAGGATAATATCGGCAATCTCATTATTCCCTTCCCCCTCTCATTCCCACTTTTATATATTGGTTCTTTTTATGATGTGTGATGCACATTTACTACACTCGTTTAGCTTTTTTTTATTTATGTAATTAAAATATAAATTGTTATTTAGATTGCAATAAATCCAATGGTTTTTATATATATAGTAAATTTTTTTTTTAATTATATGTCTTACACTGTAATATCTTATTGAAGAAAATTAATATATTTGTTTCCCTCTTTAAAATAACAATTTAAATATGAATTATGTTATTTATATTCTCTTCAACATATTGGTTCATATAGTTTTTATTATATGCTAGTTGATTTTATTTTTTGTTTAAGTACCAAATTGATTTATAAAATCATCATATATCTTTTATTTTACGTTTTATAATTTACATATTTTGTTAATAACTTTCATTATAATCTCTTTTAGTAAATAAATATAGTTTAATAATAGAATAAAAAACTAATCTAAATCAAATTAAATATTTATAAATAACAAATTTTCTTTTTATTTTTTTAACCAATCAAAATCATAAAATAATTTAAAAAGGTGGAATGAAAGGATATTAAAAAGAAAAGAGTTAAGAGAACTGAAAAGTGAATTAGCAAAAGATATTATTATGAAGGCAATTTTTGGAGTACTTGAGAGATCAAGTATTTGAGAGAGATTGATGGTTAAGTAGAAAGCAGTAAAATCCCTGTAGAGGTAAGATAGCTATATGGAGTGCAGTGAGGTCTTTAAATCCAGGGGCCATCTAATAGTTGAACTGGTTTATGGTAAGAATATTATAGGGAGAATAAGATTTTTGGTCGAGAAGAGTTTTAGTAATAACATATGTGAATAAAATAGGTTAAATCTTTTTACAAATAAATTAAATTTCAATCGTTTTTAATTTTTGTAAACTATATGTTTGGTCTTTATAAAAATATATTTTGCTTTCATAAAATACATGTTTTGGCTAGATTTGTGGAAATAGCCTTTTGACATTAGTACTGTTTACTTTTAACTTTATTGGAACATGGTTTTCATGGAGGAATACCTAATAAAATTGAGCTCGAATGCTTTTAGTGCAAATGATGGGATATTGTTAATAAACTGTTCATAATAAAAGGGAAAGGACTATTTGTCATTTTGTTATTTGTTATTGTAATTATATGGCGTTTTTCATAACTAAAATGTGATGATTGGTTAGTATTGACTTGAATTTAGTAAATAATTAGGCAAATGATTAAGAAGAATGAATAATGATTATAGTGGATGGGATTATCATTATCATTATCATCACTTATTATCATTATCATTATCATTATCTTTATCTTTATCTTTCTACTATATGTTTATATTTATATCACATATTTATGTCTGCATATTAACTATTAACCGAATGCATTCTGTTCAATAATTATTTGATTACATGTGCTGTAATATTGTTGTACCTTATTTGTTTGGAATTAGAATGAGGTGAGTCACCATGGGTTTGTGAGGGTGATGTTTGATATCATTGGCCATGTATGGGAAGATCGGCGGCCCCTTTTGCATTTGATGATATATAATATCGAAAACCACAAGGTGGCCTCCTATTGGTATAGAAAAGAAAAGAGACTATAAAAAATGAGAGGGCTAGTTAAGTGAGGATTAGATCGGTCAACCATGTATGGGGGCTTGACTCCTTGGTGCAAACGTTTAAGAGGGCAAGCTATGTGGGAGGATGGCTCGTCGAGGGTTTCGGTGACGCCACTGACTAATTTCCACTTGTTTGATTATTTGAAGGTATAATTACTTGTGGGTGTTGATGTTGTGCCATATGCTTGACTGGTTGTGTGTTCATTCTAGTATTTTAGGAAGCATTTTGCGTGAATGCATGTGTCACGACCCATCTCCGCGGGCCGGACCGGCACTAGGACTTGGGTGGGCTTAAGGCCTCCGTAGTAAGCCTATATTAGTTAAACTCATATTCCACTCATAAATGTGGCTTCAGGCCCAATAATTTATTTCACCAATATATCAAAAATACAATTCATAATATTAATGTATCAATAATTTATTTCACCAATATATTCAAAAAATACAATTCATTTAATATTAATGTATGTGTTCTTATTATCCAAGTTACATTCTCATTTGGAATACAATTGTTGCGAACTCTATTTAATTTACAGTCGTTCCATAAATATTAATCTCAACTCAGTTGAATTCCATAGACTTTTCTTTCTTGCTTTACTTGAAAAAAAAATAGTAGGCAAGGGTGAGCGCCAAACTCATATGAGTAAGGGTTAGATAACGCCGTCTCACCCACACAATCACACATTAGGCTAACATAATCTTTTAAGTCCTCCGACTAGTTAGTATGATCATGCAGTTCACACAAAATGACAATTACAACAGCAAACCACAAATTTATTATCATCTTCACTGTAATCACATTCACGTGGAAATTAGTTCAGTGCGTGAAATTAGTCAGTGGCGTCACCGAAACCCCAAATGAGCTGTCCTCCCACATGGCCCATCCTCTCATAACGTGTGCACCAAGGAGCCGATCCCCCATAGATGGCCGACAGGTCTAATCCTCACTTGACCAGCCCTCTCATTTTTTTTCCAGTCTCTCTTTTCTTTTCCATACCAACAGAAGGCAACCCAGTCGTCTCCTTCAAATCTAGATCATCAGCCGCACACAACAGGAGGCCACCCTGCGGGCTACCATCAAATCCAAATTATCAGGTGCGCCCAATAAGAGACCACCCTGTGGTTTTCCATATCATCCATATCATTGCGTGCACACGGGGCGCGCCGATCTTCCCATAGTGGCCAACGGTCTCGTTAGACTGGCCCTACACAAACCCATGGTGACCCACTTCATATCCCAATTCGCATGACCAAACAAGCACACAACAATATTCACAAAAACAAAGGGTAATCACGCAGAATTTTTAATCGCAACAATAGCGCAGCACCAATATAGCAATTTTAACCAAATGCATTGAATAACATTTAGCCGTGAATGCA